CATCCAGGGAGAACAGGTAAGCCAGGGAGAAACCTTTGGCTTGCATGTGGCTCATGATGTCCACTGGTGAGAGCAGGAGGCACTTGTCTTACACATTTATATATGCTCAAATTCTACCACTCTGCTCACACAAGGCAATTTCTCTAGAAATGTTTGTGAGAACAAACCAAAAGGAAAATTATACTGACAATAAGTAACAGGGAGGCAGGAGGGAGACTAGGTAAAAACAAGCACTGTTAATTTAAGCTCCACTCAATTCAAAAGGAAGACATGAAGCTATTTTAGTAATAGAACCAGCTATATTCTGAAGTCGTAAGATCATCAGGAGCTAATTAGATTATCGAAATTTGTCAACATGGAGAGTTCTTGAAATATTCCACCAGCTACCTGAGAAAGCAAGAAAGAATTAAAAATGAGCAGAGTCTTCTGCTGTGTAAGACTGAACAGTGGCACAGAATATGATGGTCTTTCTGCTGTTGCTCTTCTTATTTTATTGTTCCACCTAGCAGTCAGCCTCAGGTGCTACCCAAACGTGACCCCTGTTCAAAAGTGGGACATGTGATTAAAAAGTGTCTTTCAAGTTCTAGGGATCAATTCACTGGAAACTTCACCTCCAATAAATACATCAGCCAGCTTAGTGCCTCTTATTATAAAGTACTCTCTTTTTAAAGGCTTTCAAACCTAAGGTCATCATGGATACCATAAAAGAGAACCAATGTGTATCTCATGTTAATGCTTAATCTCTATTAGATTAACTCATCAATAATTACAATAAGAGTTGAAAACTGTAAGTTATTTCTTTTCTTAATTAGCATTATGCTGTATATCTGAGGACCAGAATATACGTATTTTTTTAAAGTTTGCTAAAACAAATACCTACAGAAAGCTTAGAACATCAAGTAATACCTACAGAAAGCTTAGAACATCAAGTAATTCTTAGATTACTGCCTTTAGATTAGATTACTGCCTTTTAAAAATGAAAATAAATCATAAATAGTTGTGAGAAGATGAGATTGTTTTAGGAAAAGAACACATGCTTCTTGGAGAAAACCTGTACTAAGGTTAGCAAGTGCCAATCAAGGTATTAACCACTTGGCTGCCTCCAATGTAAGCCTGGTATGCATATCGCGTGGAATACACAACAGATGCTGCCCAGAAGTTCAAAATGCCACAAGTGAACATACCTTCCTCCCCATCCACATATCTCAGTGGTTTATCATTATCTAAGAAAGATCTCATAGGAGGCCTACTCTTCCTCCTAACTTAATCATCTTACATGACCATTATTTTTCAAGCTGTTATACTTAGTAAAGTATACTGTCAGCAAATGAATGAACAATAAGACCAGTTTTCATAATTGCTACTGGATACGTGGCACATTTTTCTTATAAACTGTGCATTTGAGCACTGGTGTGAAAGGAAGTATTAAGTGTACTAGCATGGTGATTGATGTGATAGTGGAAGCAAGTTGAAATCACATGATTGTATTAGACCATCGTATGTTTAAAGCTCAGCTTAAAAGTTTAGTGATGAGTAAGTGCAAGAGTGTATCAACTGACTCCACTGATACCTCAAATCACAAAATTGTAATTGTGGAAGCACTGTATTTTCTACATTCTGTCTCTGGGCCTTTTAATTCATACCCACAGATGATTAACCACCATCCAACAGATGATAAATCATAAGTATTTATTATGTGGTCCTGATTTCCACCTCAGCTTCAGACTTACATTGCTAACTGTCATGGAGATCACCATTTAGCTGTCTCACAAGTATCTTACACTCTACATATTTAATCCAAAATCAGTAACTCTACATTCCTCCCCTTTATAATTATTCCAATGATAAAGCCCTGTCATGAAAATCTTTCCCTTTTTCTTTATTCTCTACATCAACTCTACTGTCAAACCGAATTCATTTGATCTCTTGAATATCATTCCAATCTGTGTCTTTCCATCCTTGGGACCTATCACTTAACTTGAGGTCTTATAGCATTTAAAAAGAATTATTTATAAGGTACAAGTCTGAATCAGGTGAATTTTAAGGTACTTCCCCCAAGACAGGGCTTTATCTATCCTGCTCACTCCTTGTACCCTAGCACCTAAAACATAGTAGGTTCTTAATGCAAGCTGTTAAATCAATTCTCACCATGTGAAGAAGAGGGGGTTTGGGGCATGACAGCAATACCAAGTCCTCTTCTTATTTCTGTATAGCACTTTCCAAGTGACAGAGCCCTGTCTCAACAATAAAGGACTGAGGCTTGCAGTTAAATGACCTGCCCAATGTATCTGCCAGCCAGCTAATGCATTACTGCCACTCAGTAATGGGTACACCCATTTTAACCCTGACCTCAGCGATCTTCCACTATTAGGTAGTTTATATTTTTCTAGTGCTAAGAAATTCCTTCTCTGTGTAATGGTTAGAGAGGTTAATGAAGATCTGGCAGTGACAGTGTTCAGCTATCTTCTTTTTCTACCATTGGGTCGATTTATTTGTAATGAGGTTCCTTTCAATTCTGACTCCCTTAGCTGAGATGTGACTCTGAAGCAGGCAGCTGGTTGCTGACGTCTCTCTAGTATGTCACCCTTCTCTCCCTTCTAACACTGATCCCCAGTGTAGCATGCAAGTCTTTAATTTCTTAAGCTTGAATTGTCATTTTTAAGTTTCACAGCTTTTTCAACTCTTCTATCTAGCTTCACAAATCTTTCTGTTCTACCGATGAAGTATTCCTTCCAAAAGGGTTATGAGTGAATGTAACAAAGTCTCCAGAGCCAGAGGAGATGTGGAAGACAGGAACAAGTTAGCCAATACCACAAAGAAGCAGACAGGTTAAGTCCAACCCTGAATATGCCTGGCATTTAAGATAATCAGAAAATTCTACGAACTGATTAGTTGCTGAAATTAAAGAATTACTGTTAATTTTGTTGAATACCAACAGTGTTATTGTTCATCCACAGTGTTTATGTATAATAAAGTATATAGTGATGAAGGTCTGAGACCAAGAGGAAAGCAGAAAAAGAGATGACCCAAACGCACTCAATCTTGATGATTAATGAATTTAGGTGTTGGGTGACTGAAATTACCTTATACTAGTCTCTACTTTGAAATAAATTTGAAAATTTTCAGAATAAAAATTTGTATTCTGAATTCTAAGTGTTTTATGTCTGTAACAGATATGACTACATTTAATAGGTTTTAACCACTAATTTCTGCTAAGGTATGCTAATACTTTATCTCCTACTTCTTTTTAGATTCAGTTTGCAGAAGTCTGTGACAAGAGTTGTGGTCTTAGCTGGCATTTTGGGCAACATGATAAAGTGATATGCTTTGAGTTTAGCTTCTGTGCCTAATTCATGCTACTTGCCTTTACCAAGAAAACTTGCAAGCTCTTCTTAGCCACAGGATTGTGGTCAGATGAGTCTCAAGATGACTATTAAGTAACCCTCGCCCAAGTCTAGGCTTGCCAGCAACAGGGTGGAGCCTCTAAGGTCCTCACCGAGACACAAGGCTATGGGCAGAGAGGGGAAATGTTACACAGTATGGCCCCTTGGTGTCTGATCCACTTTCAATGTGTGCTTACTCACAATCCACATCTACCTACCCTTCTGCAGTAAAATGTCCCAATGCCCAGGCTCTTCTCAGAAAATAAAATACACATGGGCTAATGACCTAAACTGTCATTTAGTACCGAGAGTATGCTGTTAATTCAACCACTTTCCACAAGGGTCCACCTCACTGGATTCTCACTGATAACAAGGTGTTTTGTATGTCCAGGAGCTTGCAGTGGGCGCTGGAGAGCTTTCACAGGTGATTACAAAGATGGGAAGCTGCTTTCCTGGAGAGGACTGTGGGAACAGCAAGGCGGCGAGTGCAGGGCAGTGGGAGTGTGGACAGAGGGATGGAAAGTTGGGAATATCCATTCTCTATGAAGGTTCTTCAGAGTTCAAGAAGTGGTGTGCAGCAAAAAATGAAAAAGAAAAAAAAAAACAACTAGCCATTTCTATAAGGCACATATGTAAGTCTAGGAAAGAAGCAAGACAACAGTACAAAAACTAATAGGATTCAAAATTTCACATGATAAGGATGCCATCTTAAAAATCCAGAGGGAATTTTCAGTCCCCTTTCCAAAGCTTCTCTTCTAGAAACTGTCTCTTCTGGAAGGAACAGAAGGACAAAGAGATGAAAGAGTCTGCCAGTACAGCGCCAGTGCGGAGAAATGATCTCAAACGCATCACAGAAGCCCTTATTTTCTTCTACTAAAATTTAAAAAAGGAAATTAACCCCTTTTATTTTTTGCTGCATTGAAGAGTTTTAATGTATGTAAACGTTTAAAAAATTGTATCTCCTGTTTTATGAAATTCCAATAATCTCTACAGTTCCTCCAAGACAAAGGTGAGGGGGCAAAGAGGGTTCCATGAATATAAAGGAAAGGTAGAGACAATAAAAGAGGGACACAGTCTATTGTAAAAAACAACTATGCTACTAGATAAACTAGTAGATCCATGGCCACATGTTATCTCCAGAAAACAGTGGCTTTATCTGCATTGGTGGAGGACTGCCTGGAGACATGATTATTATCTCTTGCTTGCTCTTCTGTAGGTAAGAACAGAAAGAAGAAGAAAGGAAAGAATAACACTGGAAATGGAACTTTCTGTCTACAAGAGGGAGAATGCATATGTAAGCTTCTAGATCTATGTCAAACAAGTGGATGATGTTTTAAAAGTCTGGGAGAAATCAAAGAGCTACTCCCACATACAAAACCCAAGCCCTTCCAGCACATTCAGGAGATTATATACTTCCTTCCTCAGGAGGGACATGCTGGCAGAGCTGGAAATTCTAGAAGCCTTTGGCTATTGCTTCCAGTGCTTGGTGACTCCCAGACAAGGGTAGAGGGATCTGACTGTACTCTGAAGAAACTTTCATCTTTAACCTGTGTCAAAGGACCCCAGAGCAAGACGAGAAACAAACAAAAAGGGAAATTAGGGTGAGGAATAGTTTACCTTCGGAGAACAGTTGAAATGCATACCAGGTACTGGGAGTGTAGTAACATACATTGTAATACACCGATACAGGTACAGCGTGCCAACTATGCAGAAAAATCTTCTGCTAATAATAGACCTAGAAAAATGGAAAAACAGGGCAGATTCTCAGTCAAGAAATTCTGCAGGTTCATTTAAAGTTTTCAATGACCCACCAAAAAAAGCCCAAAAAACTACTCAAGAGCTTGAAACTGGATTGTTAAAATTAATAGCAGATCAAGATGAAGATTTGGAGAATACTGTGTCGTGCTTTTCTAAAAAACATTAATTGTCCAAAAGAGTTGAAATTGCTCTATACCACTATTAATTATGCTTCATGAGGCCTTACACCTGAGTTGACATTAACTGAGAGACAAATGGAGTCCATTCTGAGTATTCTGAGCACACTCAGTATCTATGGTTACACCTTCAGTATATTCTCTGTCAAAAAAGGGAAGATGCCCACAGAATGACATTAAAGTGAGAATTTAAAACTTGTACGCCATTTGGTAAGTCAAAGACATTAAACAGTTACACTTGTATATATCAGTAATTGATCCTCTGAAACAACCTGATGCCAAGAAAAGAACCTATCTGAAGGAAGAATCCATTCCTCCACCACTCCCCCATCACTGTGTGATCCTGGAACACACATTTACAGTAGAGTATTTCCCTGAGTCTCCATTTCCTAGTCAGTAAAGCAGAGATACTAGCACTAGAAAAAAGGTATGGAAAATCCCTACCATATAATAGCTTCAAATGGTAGCTATCTGATAGCAGGAAGATTGTTGTTGAGTTTGAGCCTTGCCAGGACTACACAGCAAGACCTTATTTCAAAAAACAAAACAAAAAGAATGACAAAGAAAAAGAATGCTAATTCTACTCAGCCAAAAACTTGGTGACTTGACCATCACCTTAATTATTTTCCTTGAGCATTTGCTTCCTCACCAAGAAGCTTTTCTACTGCTGACACAATACCCAAGACCCACAAATTCAAAGAGGACAGGTTTAATTTGGCACATGGTTTCAGGGGATTCGGCTCATGGTGAGTAGGTTTCAAGGCAGAACCATCACAGTGGAAGGGAAGAGTCAAGCAAGCTGCTCAGTTTATGGTGGCTGAGAAACAAAGCATAGGGGACAGTGACAGAAGGGATGTGGAAAGGGGACAGACACAGTACCCAAGATCATTGCTCCATACCCCATCCAGATGACCCCAGGAGTGTGTTCCAACAACCTCCAAGGTGGCTCCCAAGTCAATCAAGTTGACAGTTAAGCTTAGTGTCACAACAATATTGCCTTCTGGTGAGAGAGGCAGGTTAGAAATAACTGGAAAAGCTATGAGCAATACAAAGAATGTGTATCAAGATACTGTATTCTTTATGATTTTTCAAACCTTTAAGAAAAGAGGCTGGAAAAATGAAACAACTTTATTTAGGGCCAACTACCAACACTGCCAAAAACCTTCTTTTCTATTGAGGTATTTTTTCAGGTGTGATATTAACAGTAGCAACTACTTGGCTAAATTTCTCCTGTATCCAAGCTCTGTTCCATTTAGTTCTTAAAACAACCCAGCAATGCACAGCTATAATCCTTGTTTTATAACAAGGCTCAGAGAGTCTAGACTGAAATGTATCACACAAGACAGAAGTATTCAGACAAAACTCGCTTCACACTGCATAAGGCATCCCAATTTTTGAGTCTGAGTCAACATTCTACTATATTTTTGTTACATTTCAAGAACCACTTAAATTTTTCATTAAGTTTGTGTTTTATGTCGTATTTCATACTGATCAGAACCCTACAGACGTTTGTTAGTAATATTAGTTTTTTAAGCACTGAAAAACCTTAACAGCATCATGTAGATAGCCTAAATTAGATAAGTCTACTTTTTATTATAATTGGAGTATGGCCAGTTATATGTGCTATTCCCACACCCTGTTTATTTAGTCAGTCTTTCTGATGCCAGCCTTTTCTTAACACTCTATCTCACCTGCACTTCTACAATGACATGCTTTCTACCTGTTGTCCTTAATGTCACTTGTCGTCTGCTATAGTCTGAGTATCTGTGGGCCCCCAAATTCATATGTTTACCTCTAACACCACTGATTAGATCATAAGGGTGGATCTCCCAACAATGGGTCAGTACCCTTGTAGAAGGAATTATCAATGAACCAGCAAGGAGGCCCTCACCACACACGAATCACCTGATCCCACGATCTTATAATCCCGAGCCTCTAAAACTGTAAGAAATAAATGCAGATGTTGTAAGCCACCAAATTACGGAATTCTGCCACAGCAGCCTGAACAGACTATGACACCTCCTTACAGTCCATTCTAAACAGAAAAACAAGAATCATCTTTATGAAAAGTTAAACACAGTATGTCCTTTAAAATCCTCTAATGGCTAGCAGTTATATTTTACATAAGCTGAAAATTCCATCCCAAGAGTTTGAGGCTCTACGCTGGCCTCCCTCTCCTTTCCCTTTCATCCTCTAGACGTCTGTGAAAGCCCTTAGTGCTCTCTGATCATCCCTTGCAAAATCCCTGCTGCCCTAAGTAGGACCTCTATGCTAGGCAGCCGCTGCCTGGTCTCTGGCCATGCTCTGCCTTTTCCTACACTACAGCCTGTCGTTCTACCTGCTGCAGACACTTGGTCCAGAGAGATGACTGACTCTAAAGCAGCCCATACTCCTAACCTCATTCATCTACTTTACTTTCTTCCTAGCCCTCTGCACAATCTCCCCAACCCCAATTTCCACACTGTGAAGTCTAAGCTAACTCCAAAGAGATTCTCGAACCTATTTTCTTCCTTTTAATTCCTCGCTACGATCCCATTTCTCTGGATTATGACAACTACTCATCAACTCCTAAATTCAAACTCTGTAAACTCCCTTCACAGCACCCTTCAACATGACTCTCAGCCCTCTCCTCTGTCTTATCTGAGACCTGAATCCCATGGCACTCGGCAAAAAGAGCCATTCATTTTCCTGGAAACCTAACCCCAGATTATCACTTTTGCCTACAAATCTCTCTTCCTGATCTCTTCCCTTATTCCACAGGCTATAATCTTATCCATCTATCTCAAACCTTCTAGAAGAGTCCCTAAGTGGGCAGAACCAGGTCATCCTATCAATCAGTTCACAACTTTGATTTTATGGCGCACTTGTCCCTTGGTATACTTGGGGGGTTGGTTCCAGGATCTCTTTGGGATACCCAAATCCACAGATGCTCAAGTATCTTATGTAAGATGGTGTAGCATGTGCATATACCATCCACACGTCCTCCCGTGTACTTTAAACCATCTCTAGACTACTTAGAATACCAAATACAACGTAAATACTACGTGAACAGTTGTTATAGTGTAAGAACAAGAAAGGTCTGCATGAGTTCAGTACAGACACAACTTTGTTTTCAAAGTATATTTGGTCCACGACTGGTTGAATCCAGATATAAAACCCATGGATACAGAGGGCTGCCTGTAGTTTAAATAGGCAAATTGCTGTTACCACTACCAACGAAGGTAATGTTTCATCTGCTCCATTAGAGGAAGTTCTCAGGGAGAGTTAGGGCTCACCCATCTCTTGTTCCCAGTGAGATTTACCATGGTGCCTGTGCTATCAGTATTATTACACAATTCTGTGCTTAGGAGCTGTACCTCTGGCTCCCTCTGATAATCATTCCCTATTTTTCTCCATAGATATTTGTCCTTTAAACCCTGTCATTTATCTGCCAGAATTAATCCACGCTGATGCTCACTATCCCTTTGCCCGATATCCTTTCTGCATTCATATTTTAATTTAAAACATTTGCTGAGATGGCTCCATTCAAGCAATGAGGCCTTTAAACCCCAGGAGAGGAGGGACTATGAATTGTGACATTTTTCTCCCTTCCCTCCCCTGTGCTCTCTATGGTGTTTCTTTTTTTTTTCTTTTTTCGTACCAGGAATCGAACTCAGGACCTTGCACTTGCCAAGCAGGCACTTATGCCACTGAGCTATATCCCTAGCCTGATGGCTCCTTATAGGCTCCCCACCCATCAGAGCCTCTGGAGTACTCACTGCTCCTCAGGGCAGACCATGAAAACCCAGGCCTTCAAATTTAGGGTTTCAGCAAAGAACATTCCAAGGAAAGGATAGTTAAATAAAAGGGCAAGGATAAAGGCTGTAGAACAGAGAAATCAAAATTTAGAACTCATTTAAAAAGAATGTGAGAGTTAGGAAAAGGAGATACGTCATGCTCCCAGCCCAGAGATTCATCTACACAGGCACAATGCCACACTTTCTAAAATCCAAATCAAGGAAATTCTACATTTTTGGTAGTATTTTTATCACAATTCTGTTTAGCATATATTATTATCTCATTTTATAGAAGGAAAAATTATGACATTAAAAGTTTAAAGACTAGCTGGGCCAGTCAGTCAATGGAAGATTCACCACAAAAGTCAAGGGTCTAGACTTTAGTGCTTCATAAAAAGGGTGGCTTAGATTTTCCCCCTTAAGCACTCTGTAAAAACACTGCAATACAATGTAATACTTGTTGAAGTTTAGGAAATGACCCACTGGTGGGTAATTTGCACAGAAAATAGAACACATTATGAAACTATCCCTTTCTACAATCTTTTAGAAATACATTATTTTCAACTTGGTGTGGTAACGCAGGCCTGTAATCCCAGCCCTTTGAGAGGCTCATGCTGGAGGATCGCCAAGGTCAAGCCCAGTCTGAGCAATTTTATGACTCAGTGAGACACTTTCTCAAAATAAAAAATTTAAAAAGTCTGGAGATATAGCTCAGTCAGTGCAAAAGCTCTGGGTTCAATTCCCAGTACCATACCAAAATAAATAAATACATTTTAAAAGTTAAAAATTTCAGGTCACAGATTGTAACATAACGTTTTTTTAAAAGGTGATACTGTTAAGATAGCAATGAGAACATCTATGTGATCTCTTAATTGTCTCTACTTGAGACAGTTAAGAGCTAAAAGCAAGAGTCCTCCACAGAGTGCAGGGAAGTACATATACAAAACAAATTACAAATTACATTTCTTTGTGGTATTTTAGGTTATCAAGAAAACGCACACGTGTGTATAAATATGTGTATATAT